AAAAAAAGAAAAAGAAAAAAGAAAAGAAAAGATGTGAGAAGACTTTAAAATCCATTTCAGCTTTACAAATGTTTGACACATAGTGCATTTTATTTTATTTTTCTTAAAAGCTTGTGATATGATTGATTATCCCTTGAATACAAATTAATTATTTTACCAGTTTACAATTCTTTGCTGAGCCTAGAATAGAAATTTTATTTAATCTTTCAATTAGTTTTGCATTATTTTTAAAATAATGTCAATTATGATTTTAAAGATAATGCAAAAACATCCAATAAAAATATGAGTAAATTGTACAGAACTAACCACAGATCCATCCATGCAATAAGCACTAAGATTGTTTAGGATATATTCCATCAGTACATTTGTAATTCAGAAGAAATAACACAAATAGGATGCTACCTAAATTCTCACAGTAGAAAATGCATCAATACTACTTTATTTGGCATAAATTTAATTTGGTAAAGGGTAAAGTTTATTTTGGGATATATGTAGCATTGTGGTGTTCATTGTACTTTGTGATGTATCCACTAAGTTAGAAGAATCTGTATCAAATTTTTGATATGTTGTGCTTAAACATTACATAATTTTGTTGACCCACTTTTTTACTATGCAATTTCCTTTAATGTCTATTTCGAAACTGCTTTCTCTCAATATTGAAAGACCACTTTCCTGACCAATTCCATTGTGATCCTTAGTGTCTTTCACAACAATTACTTTTGTCTATAAAATTAGATACCCAACAATTACATTCACCAATCTTTTAAAAGGATTCTGTTCCACAACAATTCCTTTTTGTCTATAATGTTATTCATTGCCTTACAGAAAAGAAGGAAAAGAAGAAAGAAAGAAAGAAAAAAACACATTATGCAAACTTGGTGCCTGTGCATCTGATTTGGTTGTTTGACTTTGTGAAGAATAACTATTAGAACAGCACATTGTAACTTGTCATATATTACATTTTCTTTCTACTGTTCCATTATTCTTTTTAAATTATCAATATTACATTTAGATCTTGTGGGGCACTTGAACCTTCATGGCTGAATCATGCAACCTTTAAATTTTCCACATTTTTTCTGGGGTTACTCAAAGGCCTGTGATGATACGATTTGTTTTGTTGTTCTGGCACACCAATTCATTGTATGCCCAGAATCCACGGAACCATTCCAGCCACACATGCCTACCCCCCCCCCCTCCCCACCATTCCATGCCCAGGTAAAGCTACAATTCCGTGGTAGAACATATCATGCTTCCTCTGCACACCCTGCACTTCCCTGCTGTCAGGAAACAGAATGGAACTCCTGATAACATGGGATCCATTCCCATTTTCCAATAACACTGCCAAGCTGTGGAACAAACAAGATACATCCAAAATTTCAAAAGGACCAAATCCATTGGGAGAGGCACAAACTGGGAAGAAGAAGGAGAATGAGTCACCCAACCCAACCAACCCCAACAAATATTATTATTATTTCCCAACACAACACACTACCAGTATTGCCTCGGGATAAGGACCCCCCTCCCCTCATATCCATCCTTTCCTCTCTATTCAATGCCTCCCCACATGAAAGGGGAGAGGATGATCGAGCACCCATCCCCGACGCCAATCCCGACCCCCGTATTCTCCACGTCAGCACTCCGTGAGCCAATGAGAACTACCCGGGAGGGGTTAAGAACGAGGGTGGGGGTTCCGAAGTTAGTGGAGGGGGACGGGTGACGGGGAGCACGGGTCGGGGATTGAATGGTAGGGGGCAGTGGAGCCGGCACACGCCCACATTAAATGACCAGATACCTCGGAGGCCTCTTTCTGTTTTATTATTTATTTTTACTATTTGTATTTTCTCGAAGGTGGGTGGGGGGGATTTATAAGGGTGATCATTAGCCGGAATTGTGGTTCGAAACCATCCACATCTCTCACCCTCATCCCCCCCCCCCAACCCTGTGCCCGGCCCGGGCCAACCCTATCCCACCAATCTGGCCATTCCATCTAATCCATCCCCGTCTGCTGGGGTCTGTTTCCAACCGCAATGCGAAACATTGGCGTGACGTCAAATACCCGGACCCACGGGGGATGTCCTTCCACGCCACCGCTTGAACTGCTGAGTAGGGAAGGCGCCGCCTGTCCCCGTGCCTGTGTTAGGGAACCAAGAGATCCCAGCTGGGGGAACTTACTTACTTGTGGAGGGATATGGCCACACAACCCCCATCTCTTGGGGGCCCTATCCCCGTCATCTCTCTCCAACCTCCACCATAGTGTGCTTTTGACCCCCAAAACGTCAAATAACAATCAATGGTTGCAACCCAGGAGAAGAATAAGAAAAAAATGGCTGTTAATAAGATGGAGTGAGTGGGTGAGTACATTGTTCTATTATGAATTCCCTTTATTGTTTCCCTGGGTGTTCTTCTGGGGCTGGGTGTTCTTTTAGTGTTCAAAGTCTGTCCAAAGGGATTGTGTGTGAGTGTGAGTGTTCCTGTTGAGGCTGGGGCTGTAACCAAGTGGTGTAGTTTGTGGGGTGCCATGTGGGTTTTACATAGCTGCACAGAAGTTGAAGCAACCCCCCCTCCCCCTTCTCTCTCTTCCACATAAAAATGGTGGATGAGTCATCATGCTTGTCCTCCTTACTCAAGGCCAGTTTGGAAGTCACTGGAACACTATTCCCCATCTGTATGGTTATCCAAAAACAAAATCTCTTTTTGTACACTTATATGCATAGAAAAAAATTAAAAAATATATATATATATGAGAAATTGTGATGTGTAGAGAAACAAAATTGATTGTGAATAGAGGAATGAGCTTTGGCCTTGAATAAGTGGATTGATTCAATACATTCCCAATAAATGTCTTGTTTGCATATTGTTATGTTCTTAAATGACAGTAAGCTATGCATTTTAATTTCTTCAATATATATTTTTTCAATTACCATAGGTAGATATTACTTGAGTTGGTCTGTTTTGTGTGTGCATATTTAGTTTATAAGGTTTTGTATCAAGATGTTTTTATACATGAATGCATATATTTAATTTATATATATTCAATGTAATATTTTTTTATTGTTTATTATTTATTATTTATCAACATTCATTGTTCATATAACGTTCTATTTAGTGTCCCAATAACTTATTTGTAATATTAATTATAACCATATTTTCACACAAGATTTTTGTCTTTAGAAGAGGAAGTAAATGGCTACAAATTTTAATGATAGTAATTGGTTTAAAATGAGAGGTTTTCTGTGATTGGATTTTTAAAAAATAGAAAAAATTATAAAAATAATTACCGAGATTGAATGAATTTTTATTTGTTTAGTCACTCCTCATGTGGAATAATATGGCACAAATTGTGTTATCCTTAGAGTTTCCATCATGTCCTTTCTAAGATGTGGTTTTTACTTATATTTGAGAAGTTATATTATATTTGAATATATATATAAACCAATAATCAATATTTTTGAATTTATTGATTTTTTTTTACAATTAAGATGCGAGCAACTCTATATGAACTTATATTTAAAAAATGGCTTGATTTATAATATGACTCCTTTTCACTTGATTCTATCTCTAAAGGATGAGACTTCCAATGAGCGACTTTTCTTTACCAAGCAAATTTTTTTTGTAAATTTCACTTTGGACTTTTAAAGTTAGCTTTTAAATAACAAAATAACATATATATATATATATATATATATATGTAAACTCCACTATCAAATTTTCTTTTCTTTAATTTCTACTCATCAAATCCTCTCAAATACTATATAATTTGTGATAAATATTATACATTTATTTAACTCTACATTACAAACTACCATGTAATGACTTTCAACATAGTTGATGGTTAATCTACAAGAAAAAGAAAAAGAAGAAAAAGAAAAAGAAATCACATTTCACATTTTGCACAACTTATGCTTTGAATGATAGTTGTGAAACAAAACATTCACATCTTTGCAACCTCCTTCACAGAATGTGTTAGTTTCATGCATAGCATTTCATGTGTGTTTGAACAGGCCTTCAACCAAGAGCTGGATCCTCATACATACAGAGCACCAACATGATGCTCCCCGAAATGGTGCAGCTCCATCACCAACCCCAGAAAAGCTGTGAATATGGATGGATGAAGTAACGAACGAACGAACGAACTAACGAATGAGGAACGTAGTTAGACCCGAGTGGGATGTAAGCGCCGAATGGAGGGCGCAGAGCCCAAGGCAGGAACTGCACTTGACTGGAAGTGGGAGCAAGAGAGGAGGCAGATTCCACGGGGAATTCCATACCCCCCTGCATCCAAGACGAGAAACAGAGCAGTAATAAGCGGAAGAGGAGGAATGGAGGAGGAGGGGCCCGATTCTGCGGCCATGTGGCCTCCTAATTGCAGCAGCGGACATAATAATAAATCTATGCAAACAAGGTATACGACGGCCATGTGTCGGGGGAAGCTCGGTTCCACAGCGAAGATCGCGATAGTTAGGCTCCAAGTTATCCTCCTCCTCCATCATCCTCTCACGCCGCGTCATCGCAGGGCGCAAAGAGAGATTGTCGTGAAACGCCGTAAATTTCGATCAAGAATCATCTGCATTTATCCCCCCCCATTAAAATAAAATAAAATATCTATTCACGTTTTTATTTTTATTTTTAAGCTGCTGCTGTAATTACAAGGAGGGAGACGGTGATGACAACAACCATGAGGACGACGAAGACGATGACGACGACCGTGTGAGGGAGGAGAGCGAGAGGGGGAAGGAGGGGGGATATCATCATCTAAAGCAGACGGTTAAACAGATTTAGGTGGGCCGCACTGTAGAAGGTTAGATTTGGGTGGAGAGAAAGGGGAGAGAAGAGAGGAATAGGGGGTTTTGTGGATGACGCAGGGCATGTGGTGGTGGAGCGTGTGTCGTCTCTTTTCCCAGGACATGGTGGAAAGACGGAAAAGTAGGGCGGGTATGAGGAAAAACCTCCTTGGCGGGGCCGGCTGAGGTGCGCTCGGGCGGGGGGATGAGGAGTTATGGACGGTTGAGTCAAAAGCCCAAGCAGGGATCCCTCACGGCGCATGTAACTCAGGCAGAGAGGGAGTTGATCGGGTCTGTGCGTGCTCGCTGACTGGCTGGCTGATTTGAGTTTCTTCCAGCCCTGGGCTCAGTGATCTCGCCTCCTCCGGCTCTGACTTTTAGGGACCACCTCTGCCTTGATTTCTCAAAACAGAAACCTCGCCCATCTGGTTTTGCTCCTCCTCCGCCTCTGTCACGCCTGCCCTCTTTCTTTCTCTCAGCCCTTGTGCTGCTGCCTTCTAACTCCTCCTCCTTCTCCTTCGTCTTCCCCTTTCCTACTCATCATGCCAATCACCGCAACGTCTGTGTATCTGAACTTTGTGTAACTGTATGTACATATATAAAAAAGGAGTTTATATTCGATTTTATGCCTCCCTCGTCCTCCACGGCGACGCGCGGAGCTCCCTGACGCAGCGGAGGGAGAGAGAGTAGTGTGTATGATTGTGACGTCGTAGTGGGGCGGCCCCCAGTGCTTCCGAGGGTGAAGGAGAGAGTGGAGGGGAATAAAGTGCGGTTATAGGTGTCAAGGGGTGAGGATTTTGGCACGAGAGGGGGGGGGGGATTTGGTCGCTATCCGGATCCTGCTGCAGCATGTGGCACTTTTGCATGGAGCTCACCGAACAGCGCTCTCATACCCTGTAGGCACCTGCACTCTTGGTGTTGTGTATGCACTTGCTCGAACTCTGGGACCCGGCCGCTGTTTGGCGAGGAATGTTGTGGTGTTGAGTTGTCGGAAAGTGTTTGGTGACGAGGACTTGCTTTGTTTGGATATGTTAACTGAACCGGTCCCTGGAATTGTGTGCTGTGCTTCCCTGTGTGGTAGCTTGGGTGTGCCTCACCATGTTGCCCCCTGGGAACAGCACTGGAATGGTGGTGACCCAGTGAAGCAGGTAACGAAGCCGCGTTTTTTGCTTCTGTGTGCGCTCCTATTCATCGGTTGCTTCTTCCTCAAGTTTTGAGATTTTTGAAGCTGTGATTGATTGTCGTAGTTGACCTCTTACAGGCCAGTTTTGGGCTCAAATATTGATACAGAGTTCTTTTGTATGTGGTTTTGCAATTCAAGGTAAGATCTGCTCCGAGGGACAAGATTATGGATTCTAAACTTCGGATCGTTCAGTGCCCGAAGTGTCGGGCGTATTTACAAGAACCCCCTGTTGGCAATCCTTTCTACGAATGCGGCAGCTGCTTCGCTACCCTTCAAGGTTTGTCGAATACTTCTCAGTTCCCCTTTAGCAATGTCAACTACCACTCGTGTGTCGGCTGCTGATGCCTTCCCGACCTCAGCCCGAGGAGCTTTATCATATTTGGCTACACAGGCAGAGCTGTATTGGTAGTAATAGGAGCCGAGGCTGAGCGCAGTTGCTGGCTTTTATAAGTTGGATTGGGTTTTGCAATGTAAGTTCATTCGGTGTAATATTTTCTTGAGGATCTTTACTGTCTGTGAGCTGAATTGCCGAATTGTATGGTTTGTGAAATCGCTCACGGAAGAATTTGATGTCACTCGCAGCCAATCACGCTACGCAAGAAGATGTTGATAACCGTTTGCGAATGAAGGCGCAATTGAAGCGATTGGAGAGTGAAAAGAATACGAAAAGCTTACCACCTGAAGATGGTTGTAAAGTATTTACCTCAGAGTCTTCCAGCGAAAAGAGCATCGACAGAGAAGAGCATGGCCAATTTGGAGAGGGCTCGCCTTCTCGGTCGCCTTCAAGGCGGGAATCACCTCTTCGTGGTCCTATATCCGGACACGCACCGCTGCCGCAGGCTCAACCAGAGCACCAGAGGCAAGCTGTCGAATCCATTGATCAGCCACATTACTACCCGCAGAATGCTGTTTCTCGATCCAAATTAGATGGTCCGCAGGAGAAGGTTGAAGCGCTGAGCTATAACCTGAACCAACTTGGAGTGGAGGATAGCAGTGAAGTAAAAAGTCAAAATTTGGATACTTCAGGAGCAGAGGGTGCAAACGGGCATGGTGCTCATCTTCGGAGCACCAGGCGACCTCGTTCGGGCGAGTTGCAGCCGGACAGGGTTGTTGAGGGCTATCACCCTCAAATTCGAAAATCGGTTTCTTTTAAAGACCCCGCGAGTACACATTCACTGGGAGGGGATCAGACATCGATTTCGAAGGATGTACACCAAGTAAATCGAATACCTCCTCCCGAACCGGAAGATAGTATAGAGGATCACATCCACCACATTTTGGACGACTTTCTTTCCGCACGCTATGACGCAAAGCCTCAGTACTCGAAAGTTGAAGGATACGAAATGCAGCGGGAGATCCATGGTGCATCAGAGATTTCAGAATATGGGACAAGCAGTCGCACATCGTCCGTTGGTGATGGCGATGCACACCATGCCATGGTGGTAGAGAGTCATTCTAGGCCCAAATCTGGTGAGCTCGATAGCTATGTGGTTCTGGACCATCGGGTGACAAGACCTGGGTCGTATCAGCGGAGTTCTTCAGCGAGCAGGTACAGTCATTTGAATTCTGTTCATCATCACGCTACAGATGGTCATGAGCGATACCATTCTGATGGAGAGGTGTTTTTACCTCACACTCACTCTGCTTCTAAAATGCAACACCGGTCGACGGCTTATCAAGCACATCAGCCTTCTCATGTACCTTACCAGTCATCGGCTCAGTCTCCTCCTCACTACTCGTTCAACAAACCTCCAGCAGGACAGACTCAATATCTGTCGCCTGATTCCAGTGTTACCAATGGTTCCCCGAAGACCTACCCTTTTCTTCCTCGGCCGGATGAGGCACCTGTTGTGCACTGCCAGCACTGTGAGCAGCTTCTCAGTGTTCCATCTAATTTGCCTCCGACTAAGAAAGGTTATCAGAAGTTGAGGTGCGGGGCATGTTTCAAGATTTCTGTCTTCCTTGTAGCACTAGAGGAGCATATTTCAGCTCCCACGATATCCCCCAAGGGACATGTTCCCTCTGCAGATTTTTCAACCGCACATGCGTTGCATGTCACAAACTCACCCGATTCGGGTTTTAGCAGCCGACACATCAACCACGGAGCGAAGTCGGATTCTGAAACAGGAGATAAAGGTCACGCCTCAGTAGTTTCTGGAGGATCGCCGCGTCTACCACCTGTTGTGAGGAACATACCTCGGATTCCCTCGGGATCAAAACTTATGGCGATGACTTCAGCTACTAATGGTACTACAATGACGGGTCATGCTGCTGTCTCAAACTTGCATTCAGGTACGGGGGCTCTAATGGGACGCAGCAACAGCTCTTCTCACTACAGTGATGGGACTACGTATCGTCGTTCGCATTCTGCTTATGGACCAAATGGAGAACATGTGATGTCCTCGTTGGGGCCCCGCAGCGATTATGAAGGTCATCATCCGCATGATGGGAGGTTTTTCCAGACCAGTAGTGAATCAGACAATGACTCTCCCAGACAGCGTCCTCCCATCAGCTCTTTCAAGGGTGAGCAGTTCTACGCCTCGTCGCGCATGCCTTTAGACCGCCACGTCGCTCAACAATATTCGAAAGACGAAGGGTACATGCAAGAAGCAAATTCGACGTCCTCTATGAGTCTGAAAGGCATCATAAAGAAGGGTGTGAAGGAATTGACGAAGCCCAAGGAAAATTCGAGTAATAACTTGTACAGGCGGAAAGTAGTTGTCAATGGGTCACCCATTCCCGATGCCCTGGTGAAGCGAGCCGAGACAATGGCAGGACCCATTCATCCAGGATCTTACTGGTAGATTCTCTTTTCTTTAAGCAGTCAAATGTGTGTGTGTCCGTGGTGATGTCATATTTGTTCATCTAATAGTACGTATACAGTAGAATAATATGTCTGAATTTCTCTCGTGCTGAGATTCTGCTGCACAATTGTGATGCAGGTATGATTCTCAAGCAGGCTTCTGGGGCCTCTCCGGTGGACCGTGCTTGGGCATCATTCCAGTAAGTGTTTGCAATGAATGCAGCCTCCATCCAGTTGTCTAATATTTATATAAGCATGATTCAATCGTTTTGAATCTCCAATTCTCAAATGTGTGTGTTAATGTTCTGCAGCCACACATTGAGGAATTGAGTCTACAACCGCTCTCAAGGTACTGCTCCGGTGGACAGACTGGAGTTCTGGTGAACGGAAGGGAGTTGCACAAGAGCGACTATGATCTTCTGGTGCGTCGTGGTCTGCCCCCCACACCAGGCAAGACGTACTTCATTGACATCGAGGGCCACGTCAAGGAAGCTGTATCTGGGTTGGAGCTCAGAGGTCTTGGCTCATTTGCACCAACGTACGCGATAGCAGTACCTTTTCACCCAAGTACTTCCAGCATTTTCCTCTTACGTAATGACTAGTTGTGTAGTTCAAATCGATCTGGTCTTTGTTTCTCCAAGTATTTTCAACCTTCGCTTCTCTTACGTGACACGGGGCTGAAATTCGCTTAGAGTTGTCTTTAGAACTGCGAGTATATTCCTTTATTTGGATAGAAACTGTTTGGATGGAAAGATTTTTAATGATGGTTCGGTTTTATTTTGTTTTTCTATGCAGGTTGGATCAAACAACTCGAGGGCAAGGAATGTGGGTTCCTGGGAGCGGTTAAGTATATAGTATGGTTTCTTGGGTATATGGAAACATTGCATCGTGGTCACGGCTGACGAATCAATTTCCAACAAGTATACAATCCAAGTCCAGCTCAAAAGGCGGTTCACCTCACCAAATGATGCCTGGATCACGTCTGTTCCCGTTTTGAGGGTAGGCGATGTGTCAATATACTTTGTTTTCATTTAAGCATTTAGATATGACAGTATGCTCACTGTCATCGAAAGATTTTGTTCTTTTTTTCTTTCTTTTTTCTCCCCTACGTTCTTTTTTGGGAAGAGTTCATAAGATTTTATCTTATATTGAAACGGTTTGTTGTAATCTGGTTCGTAAAGCTGTACATGTCTGGTCTGGACTTCAAAAACACAATACCTTCGTGTTTGGTGTTACTACTTAATTCCAAGGTTTATTTTATATGATGTGGCGTCCGCCCCAGCTATCATTCTTGTGTCGTCATGAGATTGAGCTTGAAGTGAAAGTTTACATTTGCGTCGACTACTGGATTGGACTTTCTTTAGATGTAGGTCGCGTCACTTTGTAATGAGTCAGTCTCTCCACGGTTGAGATAGTGATGACGACGTGAACACCGGGAAAGGACTTGGCGCGCTTATTTGGGCTCATTATCCTATTTTCTCGTTCTCAAAAGCACAGTAATTTTTGGTGGCGTCGTCAAGCTTGTTTTGGTTTTTTTCTGGTACCCTGAGGTGTACCAGATCAGGAATCTGGGTGGGCGTATCTGTAGGTCTAGATTTGGTGATAAATAGTTTTACCCATATTTTTGCTGATTCTTTGATAAACAATTCCATGTGCCCACAGGTGTCCTTGCAAAGTTAATTTCTACCCTTTCGTTCCACATCTACAATATGTGTCGTTTGTTTCCGATGTTGATTGTAGCACGTTGTTTCGTCAGTCTTTTTCCCGTTTCTAATCCTCTGATGTACAGATTGACTGTCTATTTTGAAATTCAGCTGCTTTTGCCTCGTCGCTGAAAAACTCTTTGCAACGTTCTCTGAGGGTTTCAGGACTAATTATTCCTTTTTGGGGTTGTATGAAGAGTGTGAAGGTTCTTTTACTTTGCTTTTACTGATTAATTTATGTAGAGGACTAATGTTTGGAAATGCCTGTGCAGGTGCGTGTATAGAAGAGATGAAGCTACGTCACTTTTGAAGTGCAACTGTATATGATTCTTCGTCAAATTTTGTTGCGATCGGTTGTTACCTTGAGTGGCCTGATTGTGTTCTCCTTAGCTACTTGGAAGAAGTACCAAGTGCTCGTATGCTGTAATTCTAGCACACCTTACAGCCCCTTCGATATCGTATTTTTCAGATTCAATTCTTTGGCTCTGGTTTTACTGGAAACCTGGGTTGAAATAAAGAAAAGGGCGAAAGCCCACACGCTTTTAAGCAGATCTTTCAATTATCTGTGCAAACAAACATCTGTGTACACTCTTGTTCCCTTCAATCTTAATGAGGTTTTTGTCCATGTGGTGTTCAGTTCCTTGTCTACATCCATGCGTTCCATATTCATAGCTTGGTCTATACCCATAACACGTATTGCGTCCACCTTTTCAATATCAAAGAGGGCTTTACCTCTTCCAGACGATCAGTGACGTTTTCTCACTTTCGTGTACTTTAATTTGATGGCTGACAAAGCGATGAAATTGTATTGTTTAAATTACACCAAAACGAAATCTTCAAATCAACACAATGAGAGCCGGGAATATGCTAATATTTTTACGACATTAAACACGTTTAGTTGTTACGGAAAGACTTATCTGTTTTTAATTGCACTCTAGAGACGGTGAAATAAAACAACTCCTTGATGATTAGGGGCCAGAATTCGAAGATTAATATCAAATTATGTAAAATAATCGATTGGGCAGATTCAGCACCAGACAGTTGCACGCAGTCTGATAAAAACACAGGAGTAGGCATTCTGAAAATCAGTCAGACAATAACCGCCCAACGAGGAACATTAATAATTTACACACAAAGCTTGTTGTGCAAAGATAGACGCACTATGCTAACGAAAATCGGCTGAAATTGTGAAAAATGGAAATTGGAACCCCAATAGAGGAGACTTAAGAATCAAGGACTGTCTAGCTCGGAACTAATCTAGTTTGTCAACAAATGCTTGAGGTGGCGGTAAATCTGGAGTAATTTCCATTTCTTTTGCAGGCTGCAAAGTACACGACAAGTGAAAGAAAGTAAGTTGACGCAGACGGAGACTTGCTATTCCTTTACATGCTAGAGTTTTCAAACTTTACTTCAGAAGGGATAAAAGAAACATGTAACTTGCATGGACGAGTGGATAGAAGCAGGGTACCTGTTGCCACTCAAGGAAGCACCAGACGATGTAGTTGACGACTGCCACCAAACAGAACAATTTTCCTGCCCAAGGGCCACAAGCGTAGTATCTGACGATGCAAATATCACTCACAAGTTATTAACATTCGATTAGTAGATAATGGATGGGGCGCAAATAATGTATGTGATGAGGCAAAAGACTGCGAAATGCATGCATGAACTCCCACCGTCCTCAATAATGTGCAATGCATCATAACATACCGTCCGAGACGAAGCAGCAAATCGTCGTCCTCAGACCTCAAAGCTTGGTCATACACAACTTCTGTACGCTTGGCAACGTCCATCCAGCTATACAGATTCTTCATCTGCAATAAAATCAGTGCTTACGTGAAAATTGATAAACATTCAATTGCGTTGTAAATATTATTAGCCGTGTAATAAACTATGCATGTCATATTTATTGACTATGTTATGAATGTGCGGGGCAGTAAATCTCATACTAACATTGGTTGACACTTGCGATAGACCTTAGAGGTGGTGTAGGTTAAAGAGATCAAACAAGAGAGAGATAGCAACATATATTGAACCAACCACAATTTTACATACAGAGTGACCCAAATTTTTCTCAGGAAATGTTGTTTGCTCGAGAGCACTTAACAAAGCTAGCGGCCTAATCCTTTTCACTAAAAACCCACCTCACTGCTAAAAATACAAGTCACGCAAACAACACAAGAGGTGCTAGGTCAGAAAGTTTTACTCTGTTGTGCATGGAGAATGGATCTACTTGCGGCAAAAGCTTGATCGCTTGACCAATAGCAACTACCATCTCGGCTGGTACAGGTGGAGCAAGAACGATCATATCATCAGGCAGCACCTGCCAACAGGTGAAGCTTATATGATTAAAGGAATGAGGAACTTCTTTCCTTGCAAAAACTACTTGAACAAACCATTGCGCTTACAACCACAGAACAGGCTGACAAACAACTAAAAAAGCTTTAACCTGGCCATATTAAAGTCAAAGAATATTAAGCACACAAGTTACTCAAAAGTGAAGGTCATACATACCTCGGGAACACCACCCACACGTGTGCTCACAGTCAGGAGCCCGCAACTGGCTGCTTCTAATATTGCAATGCAGAATGCCTCTGTCAGCGAGCTGTCACGACGTACCCAAACTTATGATACGCGAAATGAAGATAAAGGAACCCACACTACTTGAGGTATAACATTAACTCAGCAAGCTTGATCAAATACAACTTCCTAAACAAGGATTTCTTGTTTGATCCTCTAGGTTTTGTGCTTAACATGAGCGATCCCTGCATCTTCAGCGTACCTATTGAGGAAAATGTGTCCACGAACTAAGACGGACCGGACTTCGGCATGTGGCACAGATCCCAGCATCTCAACACGGTCTTGAAGGCCATGTTTTTCTCTCATCTCTTCCAGACGCACCCTCTTGGGCCCATCACCACCCACTATAAACCTCACCTGAAAAGAACATGCAGCCTGGGGATTCTTAGCATTCTCTAAGCAGTGAACAAAACTGTTGACACCAAGTATTTTCTACTTGATAGAGTTACTGCAGAAAGTTCAAGACCAAAAAGCCCAAATTAATCGGAGGACCTCGACAACATAATCTCCCAATCTACGGCTTGGAATCATGAAAATCAAAAGCATAAGAATTGGAGAGACGTACACAGAAACTTACTTTTGGAAAGAGTCTGCAGACCTCAGGAATGACTTCCACCAGCAAGTCCGCCCCTTTTCGATATACAAGACGACTAATGACCACGATAATAACTTGATCCTTGATACTGGGACATGCCTCTGGATCAGGCCGGAACATAGCCGTGTCTACAGCATTTGGGATGACAAACACCTTCTCAGGGTTAAGTCCGGAGCGGAGCACAGTATTTTCCTTGCTGGTGTGAGAGACACAGATAGCTTGGTGAACATCTGCGAGAGTGAATTGGAGAACCTGAGACAACGATACTGTAGTAAGTAAAAAAAATACCGAGAAAATTGCCACAAGCATCAGAGTAAAATCTGCACGACCACGCCACTTTCCAACAACGACACATGCTCACATGCTTAAATAGTTCGACATGAGATGGTATGTAGGAAGCGGAGCACCTTGTTCATATGGATACTTCCCAGGTCCGCGAAGCCATATAGGGAGTGGTCTGTGAAAACAACCCGAAGCCCCATAGTCCGCGCGTGCAGAAGAGATTCATGGCACAATGTTGAAAAGGCTTGATGGCCATGAACTAATGTGATGCCCTCTCGCACAAGTATAGTTCGGATAATTGGTAGAGAGCCAGAAAGAGTTGGAAGCACGTTTTGTTGAATGAAAGGAAGGCGAGGGATGTAGTACACTTTCAGCCCGTTGGTCATATATCGAACACCACTCCTACGCCCATATGCGTGTGTTGCAACAACCACCTGCGGGGCACAATCTTTGTTGATCTTAGCAACAAAAGAAAGAAAAAAAAAAGAAAAAAAAGGAAAAAAGAACACTAAGAAAGACTTTGCTCGTTACTATCCGTTCATTTAATATTCTCATGAATGCCACTATATGCCATTTAATAACACCTACACCCACAAAAACAAACAAACAAACAAACAAAAATCATAGCAATGTCATCAAAATGGGAGTTCAGCTAAACCCCTGGAAACCCTAACCTTGTGCCCACGCTGCAACAGACATTGAGAGAGGTAATAGATGTGATTCTCCACCCCGCCGAAGTTAGGGTAGAAGAAGTCCGAGACCATGAGAACACGGTGCCGGCCATAGCTCTGTTGCCCACTGTCCACCATCACTCGCTCCCTCTCTCCTCACCTCACATGCAACCCACGTTTCCTGAATCCACAAATAACCCCGTGTAGGCAGCCCCCAGAGAGGCTAAACTAGCGTCGTATGGTTGCTAGAAGCGATGCGATCGATGCGATCACAATATGGTCTGGCCCACCCGATCCCCACAAATTCCACCACGAGCTCTAGGTGGCCCCATATTGATCAACAACAACATCCGAGGGTGGTAGGTTCAGTGCGATCCATTCGGCACAGAGCTCCTGTGCAATGTGAATGAAGATCGATGAGGTTGCTGCTGGATCGATCAGTGAGTGCAGTGCAGTGCGTAAGGGGGGATTGTGGGGATTGTGTACCGGTCCACAGCGTGAACGATTCCATCGCCGAGCTGTTGTTGCTGGCTCCCTCTCCTCGTGCCTCCCCAACGCGCTCGCCGACCAGGATGCTCTGCTTCTCGGTTTTAGAGGTCCTCTGGCTCCGCGGTCGTAGGACATGACCGTGTTGGTTATAACCGTGGATCCAGTTTTGTGCATTGTGTATTTACACACATATGTATATGGTATTTACGCACATACATGTATAGTAGCATTAGAGTTTATTTATTTATTTATTTACTTTATTAAATAAAATAGGATTCTAAATATTGAAAAAAGGAAGAAATTAATTATAATAAAGGGTTTTTTTTAAAAATAACGTTACAATATTAATTTGAAAAAACAACATGACATCATGGGTTTCTTTCAAAGCAAAAAATAAAAAAAAATTAAATAGTTATAGCCCATTGAATATTAATTTTTGTATCAACATTTGATATTATTTTTGGTCTTAATCTTGAATGTTTTATTTTATCTTTAATATTTGTTAAGACACTTAAATGAGATATGAATTAGTTAGCATTTTTAGATGAACTTATAGATATATACATACATACAAATAGATAAAATTGACTTTCTTTAATATGTAAGATGTTTAATTATTTTTATTGTACTAATGAAATTAATTACCTTAAAATATAATTTTTTAATTTTTATTATTAGAAATCAAAAATTACACCAAAACATTACAAATCCATGAAGCTTTATTATTATTCAAATATATATATATATATATATATATATATATATATTTCACTCTTGTATTTTTATATTATATTTGATATAGAATTATATTAGTTTGGTGATGCCAAAATAACTAAAATTGATACCAAAATTACTAAAAACCAAAAAATTAAGTTATTTTTATTTAGGATTGTTTCATGCCTAAAAGCGGCAGTATTATTCAATTACATTAAAGCTTGCTAATATTTATTAGGAACCATATACAAGACAAGAATTCAAGATCAAGAAATGAAGTTAAATTGACATTAGAACAATAACTGGATACAAGGTAAGAAGGTCCTAACTAAACCACAAGAAATAAGTTGTCAAGATTAAAGATCCCCTCAACCTCAACTCCTATATATACTAGGTCCTAAGAAACTTCTTGAGAAGTTTTCTTGACGCTTGGAAATAAAGCAAGCCTAAGATCCTTCTTTGGCAGCTTCCTAAATCATCTAAAGCATCCTAGAACCTTCTAGGATCTCCTATGACCTTTTAGAACTTTTTAGAATATACTAGAATCTTTTGGAACCTTCTTAGAACCTATTAGAACCTTTTAGGATTTACAAGAACCTTCTTAGAACCTTCTAAAACTTCCTAGAAGTTTCTTAAAATTTCCCAGGACCTCCTAGAACCTTCTTGAATCTCCTTTAGTTATATGTCCGTGACAATATCAATCTTTAGAGCATTTACAAGTTTTGATTAACAATTGCAAGTTGTGTGTCAAGGACATGAATTTCAAAGGAAGAAATCCTCAATACACTCTTGTGACATTAAAAAGAATTAGAAAGTCACTTAAAGATGATATGGTATTGAACTAGAATGGCTATTGTCAAAAACAAAAAGACTAGATAGTCTTGATACAAGACTAAGGACTAGAAAGATGTTGACAAGAGTGAAGAAGGCTTCACTCTTGCCTCTATATATACTCTTAACTAGGAGCTACATTGAAATGTTGCATAAGACCTCTAAAACATGTTGACTTTATAAGACACATATCTTAATTTGCAAGGCAAGTTTTTTACATGTGTGCCATATAGTTAGCTTGTTCTGCAAGCTACTAATACATGGTTAACTTATTGATCAAGTTTTTAAGCTACCAATTAACTACAAACATATGTGAAGTCAAAGTAACGTCTATAAAGCTTTTCTAAAAGGTATTATGAAATTTAATCTACTTTTATCTACTTCTATTTGATCATATAGATATTTATTAGAGTACTTATGTATATTTATGACATTCTGTTTTTATTTTTGGAATGATTATTTAGACAATAGAACAATGATTATGTATGTTGTTTATATGTTTGGAGTTGGAGTCAAAGAAAAAAAGTTGTATGGGCTCCAATAATCATAAGCATTATTTGCATGTTTGGAATTGGGATAAAAAAAAAGAATTTTTACTTTTTGATACTTGATATAATTAAACAATGATTTGATGATGTATTGCAATGTTGAGATTTTATGAGCTTAAAAGGATTGCCTCACTTGAATGTATAATCTTAGCCATGGACATAATATATGCTATATGTAATAAGCAATTAGCCTTAATTTTGCCAAAGATTTTTTGTATCAAAGATTAAGAAGGTGACAACAATTAAATAATTTTTTTAATAGGATTTTTATTTTTATTTTTATTTTATTTTCTTTCTTTGATTGTTAGATTTCAATTTTATGCATTACAAGGAAATGCACTTATGATGAAGGTAGCTACAAGATCATTTGACCTACTTACATAACCTCAAAAGACTCTATTTGTACAAACTTATTAAGCATATAAATGATAAAAAAATTCTAAAAAAATAAGATACTATTATCACACTTAAAAAAAAAGAATAGAAAAATTAAAGATAGATATAAAATAGAAAGTATAATAGCTATGTCTAAATACAAAAAGACTAGAGATTTTTAAACTAAAACAATAAGATAAGAAAGATGTTTATAATGATTCTTTATTTATTTTTAACTTATTTTTGACTCTTTATTTATTTTTAACTTATAAAAATTAAAAACATATTAGAAACTTATCTTAAAAGTTAACCACATTTCTTACAAGTTGAATTCATGTTGGATGATTATTAGAATATTGCCACATATCTTCTTAATTAGATTGTATATAGAAGTAAGAGTGAGGCCTTCTTCACTCTTTACCTACTTTTATTTCTATCTAAATCCTCTTATTTAGGTATTTTTTAGTATCAATATGTATGTCTATGATAAAACCCTAGAATCAACTAATGTTATTGAAACTTAGGTTAATTAGATTATTAAGCTTATATTAACAAAATTCTTTAATATTTTTTGGTATAACCTTAAATTATCATAAAAGTCTCATCATCATATATATAAGTAGAAAATTTGAGTTTGATAGCTATTGTAGATATTCCTTATTACAATTTGAAATGTAGATTATATATATTTTTTTATTTCTAAATTTTTTATATTGATAGATTATAAAACATACTAAATTAAAAAATCCATGTATACAACATAACAAATTTTATTTAAAATTTCAATAAGATTAGAATATATTTGTATTTATTCAAGAATCTAAAAAAATAAAATCTAAAAACATCAATAGTTTTAATAAAAATATTAAATACCTAGATTCTTATATCGTAAGAATTATAAGATATTATTTGTATGTTTCTACATAAGAACTATTCTTAAATATACAATAGCAATTGAAGAATATTCTTTATTTTTTGCTAATTATAAATATACAAAATAGTTATTGTTTTCATTGTCAATGATCCTATTAAAGTTAACGTTAATCTAATATTACAATATCAATTAACAATAAATCCATCTCTAACAACTTAATACTTCAACCATTTTTTTCCTTATATCTATCTATATCTTGTAACATTCTACTATCATTAAGTAAATCTTTATTAAAGTCAAAATAGGCTATAAATGCATTATTCTTAAAGAATTTTTTTTGATTACATTTAATGAATTTTATCTTGCAACTATTTACTTTCTCTGTAACCTCATGTTTTTAACTCAAAATTTTCTTCTATTCACAATAAAACTAAAAGGTCTTTGTGAATCTTTCCTTGAATCTTTTTATAACTTAAGACTTGTTTTATGTATCAACAAATTAGAAAGACAAGATATAATAGAATGTTAATTAATTTTTTTATTAAAATTCTTATCATAATATCCTCAAAATAAGTTTGTGGCTATTTATAAATTTTAAATAGTAAATTTATTATTATTTAGACTTAGTAAATCTATTCTATTTTTAATTACCTAAACTACTTAAGGTGGTTGTAACTACCTTGTCTTTCTAACATATAAGTGGCTCACAACCTTGCCTTTGCATACTAAGTTCTTTTCTTCAAATCCTATTTATATTAGTTTTCTTTCAATTCTTTTCACACCAAGAATTTTTTTTTTTTTTTTTTTTTTTTTTTTTTTTTTTTTTCCCATTGTTTTTTCTTCTTTTTTCCATACCAAGTATTTTTTTTTCTTTTTATTAACATTATTTTTAAATTTTTTTTTCTAATTTAAATCTTATAAAAAAATAATATTTATTATTTTATCTTTTCAAATTATATTAATTGGTTTAAGAATTAAAATTACTTAAAAAAAGTATTCTAAAATAATAATTATTATGAATCATAAAAATTTATAAAATATTTAATATAGACATTAAAATAAAAATATATTGATACAAAATAATCAACTATATAAAAATCTAAAAAAAAATATATTAAATAATAAATAAATGTTATTCATTTTATTCTAATATATTATCATCATTAAATATTTTAAAGGTTTGAAAAATAAATCTAGATATATTAAATAGACAAATTGTCTTTCAATCTACATTAGATAATTAAAATGTATTACATCATATTGGACTAATTTTATATAAGTTAATCCAATAATTTTATCAAAATAATTTTATCAAAATTTAATCTAACCTTTGTTTTTTTCTTCTACTAATCTATATTTAAATATTGACTAAATATTTTTTGAATTTTTTTTATAATAAAATATTTTATTATAATAAATAACATATAATAACATATTTTAATATAATAAATATTCTTTAATATATTCTATTTGATTTTTTAATTGTAAAATATAGAATATTTAAAATTATTTAAGAATAAAAAAGTATATATATATACATATATGCATAAAAATTATATTATACCACAATATAAAAAGCTTTTGAAGCATACTTTGGTGAAGGATGGCAAGCTTAAACATCATTAGGAGATAAATAGCAAAATTATTTAATAGAATGTTTTTGAAGACAATAAATCGGTAGTTTTTTTCAAAGAATCATAAAATACATAAATAGAAACCCACCAAT